CACTAACAAAGTCTGGCTCCCTCCTCGGTCCTACAACAAAACGAGTTACAAATTCTCCAAAACTGCACTTTGGAAAATCCTAGCAAATTTATTGTGCTTACTAACAGAGCAGGGGTGGGGAGTTACTTACAGAAGAGTGAGCACCCCCCTATTTAAGGCTGAGCTGGAAAGTCCACACCCAAGCATAGTTTCTGTAACCTCCTGGCAGCCCAGCTGTGCAAAATGGTGAGAGGTGTACTTCATGGCTTTTTTCCGCTTATATATCCTTAGTCCCTCCCCCTCATGCAGCTAAGGCTGACTGATTGGGTGGGAGGGGTGAGTGACTCCTCCTTGACCTTCCTTTTCTTGCAGAAGGTCAACAGTCAAGTTTATAATCCTAGACAAGGAGGTACAACCAAGAAGGAGGTGTGACTATTGCTTGCCAGTTTAGTTTGCCAGTGAAGGACACTTCTATGTAAAACACTAATACACTGTTTAATTATCAAAGGTTAACAGTATGATTTAATATCTGATATTTGTTTTTCTTTTTCAGTACTTTCTGAAAAGAAAAACATTCAAGAGCTTTTGAGTGATTTTTTTTTTCTATATGAACATTAAGAACAATTTTCCTGATACCAGAGAGATAAGATGTATTAGTGTTTTTATTGGGATCACATTCAGTGTATTTAACTTGGAATTATTAGCATTTCGATCTGAGAAGTCATCATTATTGTTGATGACAATAAAGACTATTTTTTGTGCTAAATTTATACTTTGCCACCTTCCTGAATTATTTTCCTTGAGCTTATTTTCCCGTTGACTGTTGCATCATCTGAAAATTGAAGTTGTTTCATTTTTTTCCAATTTTTATGCTTTAGTTACTTTCTCTAGAATTTAATGGTAATTTTAATTGTACATATTAAAATATTAAAAAATAACAGAAGTAGTGGTTTTCCTTTCTCTTGACCTCAGACCCAACAAATAAGATGCTTATTTTGGGTTGGACATATATTTTTATTGTATCTGAAAGTGTCTATTAGCTTTTTTTTAATGTCTTTATCAGGCATACATTTTTAATATTTCAGAGTTGGTCTCAGCGTCTTTGGAGATTATCATACTTATTTCAAATAATAAAGATTCTTTCCAGGTTTGCTATAGAGATGTGCTGAGGAGGGTTTCAGGTGAAGCATCTTAGTGGCCATGTACAATGGAGGAAGCTGAGATAGGAGCTCCAACAGCAACCACAGAACAAAGGGAAACTTCTGTTGGACCCCCGGTCTGGGGTACCCAACGTTCACGGGAGGCCGTACCCCAATAACTCAGTCCCTAGACCAGAAGATGCAACAAGCAAGAGGATTTTATTGGCGTCTACGCAGACAGGCTCCTGCCTCACTCGGAAAGGAGAAGAAGCCCCGAGCTCAGTTTACAGGCTGCTTATAAAGGCAAAAACCACAAACCACAAGCGGCTCCTAAGCCAAGAAAAGCAGAAGCGGGAGGGGGATTTCTCGGGTGATTTCCAGCTTGGGCAAGGTGCATGAAAAGGTCAACTCTTTCTCAGCAGTTAGAATTGTTTTTCATTTTACTTCCTGGTACAATTTTTCTTTGGCCTGGGGGACTTGGTTTGAATCCATCACTTCCATTCATAGATTTTCCAGGTGAGGTGCATTGGAGTTACAGGGAGTTGTTAACCACCATGTGGGTGCTGGAACTGAACCTGGGTCCTCTGCAAGAGCAGCCAGTGCTTTTAACTGCTGAGTCATTTCTCCAGCCCCCAACCAAGAGACATTTTAAAAAGGTCAATTTCTATACACATTTAAATCTCTGAAAAACCACATAAAGAGGAACCATTCAGGAAAGCAGAGGAAGGACAAAACAAAAAGACTCATTAAAGAGAATGAAGATAAGAATTAGACTTCTTATAAAAAATTATGTAAATCAGAAGGCAAGGAAATGATGTCTTAGTGGAAAGTAAGAATTGTCAAGTCTGAATTAATATATTCTTAGACAAACACGAGTTGATTGAATTCCTTGCCAGTAAGCCACACTACAAAAGATGAAATAGAAGGCTGTAGTAAATTTTTCAAGAAGGAAGAATATGATATCAAATAAAAACTTGGATCCACTCAAAGAAATAAAAGGGCATCATAAACAGTTAAAGCATACGCAAATATAAAAGTCCTTTTTTTTGTTTTAAGTTACTTTACAAGATAACAAAAAAATTAACATTATATTTTAGATTTGTAGGATGATAATAGAATAAAAAAAAGGTGAGGGTAAAGTGAAAATATTGCTTGTAATCTGTAACTCTTCCTTGTAAGTGCAGCAGTATTGTTTATTTGATAATGCAGTGTTAAAAGAAGTGTGCATTGTGACTCAAATGGGAGTACCACAGAATTTTAAAAGTAGGTATAAGCCTATAAAGGAGATAAAATTCAACCATAACAAATAAAATCTGAATGTAGGCTGAGAAAAGTGTTATAAAGAACAAAGAAGTTATGGGATAAACATAAAACAACTAGAAAAATGCTGTATTTTGAATCCTGCTATAAAAAAACTATATTAAATGTAAATGGCTTAAACATGGCAGGTAAAAAACAGATCATTAAAGAGTAAAACAGCTATATGACTTCTACTAAAAAAAAATTCCTCAAATACAAAGACTTACATAAGTTAAAAGTAAAAGAAAGGAATAAGCATCCCGTGCCAGTATTCTAAGTTTCCAGTTTCTTTTTGTTGTTGTTGTTGTTTTGAGACAGGGTCTCCCTGTAGCCCCAGCTGTCCTAGAATTCACTATGTAGACCAGGCTGGCCATGAATTCACAAAGATCAGCCTGCCTCTGCCTCTCAAGTGCTGAGATTAAAGGCGTGAACTGATAGGTAAAAATGTTGGTGAGAGCGGGTGGAGGAAGGCACAGATGGAATTCTCAGCGGAATACAGATTTATTTCGCATGGGGCACCTTTCCCTCGGGGAAGGGAAAGATGTCAGTGAAGGGCAGGGAAGGGAAAGATGTCAGAGAAGGGCAGGGAAGGGAGAGATGTCAGGGAAAGATGTCAGCCCATGGGCTGCGAACTGGGACTTTATATATGGGGGCTTTAGGGTGTAGAAGGGGGAATGTTTGAGGGAGAAATCAGGGAGGGAGAAGCAGGAAAAGCAGGTAGGATTAGGGTCTGGAAGTGTTTACTTTTTCCCTCTTAAGAGAAAAGCTGTTGTGATAAACAACTTCTAAAATCTCTGGTTATCAGGTAGAATCTGCTTATCTTATCTTTGGAGATCAGAGGAAAGGCAGGCTGCTTCTCAGCAGAGTTTGTTTCCCTTGACTTCAAAGGTCAAGGTGAGGTCCCTGTTGGGGAGGGGGGAAACTGCTGCTGTTTGGAACCCTAACATGAACCACCACACCTGGCTGATTCCAGTTCTTAATGTCCTTGTCAACATTTACCTGGTACTGACCACTTCTTTTGAGATATGCTCATCTTTCACCTTAGCAATCCTAGTGGCTGTTTAGTGGAATTTCCTTTTTTTTTTCCTTTGGGTGTCCCTAGTCAGTAATAAAGTTGAACACTATTTCATATATTAATTAACCATTAGATATCTTTTTTTCCTTTGGGTTTTTTTGTTTTTGATTTTTCTTTTTTGAGACAGGGTCTCTCTGTAGCCCCAGCTGGCCTGTAACTTGCTACATAGACCAGGCTGGCCTCACTCTCACAGAGATCCACCTGCCTCTGCCTCCTGAGTGCTGGGATTAAAAGTGTGCACCACCACATCTGGCTAGATATTTTTTATAAATAATCTGTTAAAACTTGAGTTGTTTTATTTATTTATTTTGTGCCCCTTTTATCATTGTGTCCTTGTAAATTTGTGGTGCTTTTTGTATCTCGGATATGATCTGTTACTTCTTGCCTCTTCTGACTTACACTGAATTTCCTTATTGGTTGTACTTGGTGATTTTTATTGCAAGCTCATTGGTCATTCTCTGTCTGTAGAAGGCCTGTGGATCTAAGGAGTTCCAGCAGAAAGGACTTTCTTTTGCTATTACTGGCATCCAGGGAATGCTGCTGATCAAGTCCTTTCATTTGCGGGTTTGGGCTCAGGAAAGGTTAGGCTGGCCTTGTTGTTGGCCCCCAAGTTGCATAGGTTTGTGAGTGCCATCTTGCTTTCAGTGTCTGCCCTCAGGACTACTTTAAGTGCCTTGCCAGCCAGGGACAGGGCCTCCATTTCTGCCTCTCCAGCAACAGTTCATGGCTTTCGGTTGTTTTCCTTTTGGAAAGAAATGTTAGTCGTGATACTCGAGGTGGGAGACATCATCACTACTTTCGTGCTAAATTCAGACATAAAATAATATTTTAATTCAACAAATTATTCAAAAGCCTAAAGAGCTAATAGACAAAAATAAATGTTAATTTTTCATTCTCACTCTCAAAACATATTTAATTGTATATGTATATTATACTGTTTATACTTTAAACAGAGCAAAAAGAAATCTGAAGTAATTTTTTAAAATCTAAATTTCAGGTTAGGATCAGAGATAGATACCAAATGACTTCACTATGATCAGTCAGCTTCTTAGCAGGGAGAGCTAAAATGAAAGTTTTTAGATACAATGTTGTATTTGTCCCATTAACTTATATCACTTTTTTTTTAGAAGCAGGGTCTCCCTGTAGCCCCAAATGGCCTGGAATTCACCATGTAGACCAGGCTAGCCTCAGTCTCACAGAGATCCACCTGCCTCTGTTTCCAGAGTACTGGGATTAATGGCGTACCAGGCTGCCTGGTCCTAAGTCACCTTTAAAATTACCATAAAAATATTCAACATTACTTATTTTCTACCTTATTTTCTTCGTGGGAGTTTTTTCCCTCAAAGTTTTATATAGTCCACATAGAACCAGAGAGTTAAATTTTCTAAGCACTTCACTTTTTAACTTGAAATTCTGTTTTTGAAGCTGCAAACCTGCCACTCGTGTGTATAAAAATCATTGTAAAAGTTTATTATTAAACTAATGGCATGAATTTTCCTTTAAAACAGACTTCAAAAAGAATTAGACCTTTATAAAGATGATGATATGGAAAGTGTCTGTGAAGCTCTCCAAACAGAAATGCAAGTTTTGGAGTTGGTAAGTTCATACTGAGTATTTAGCTTCTATTCTTCTTTATCTTACTTACATGGCTTTACTAGCCCAGTGTGGTGGTGCACACCTGTAATCCCTGCACTGGGGAAGCAACAGTGGCGGAAGGTCCCTATGAGACTGGTGCTGGTCTACAGAACAAATTCCATGCTGGCTGGGGCTACAGAGGGACCCTTTCTACTGAGTGTAACTAGAGTTTGAGGCACCTCTGCTAAAACTAAGACACGACCATGAAGTTGTGACATAAATCCATGAGATGTTTTGAGATCGAGGTGCTCCTTAAAGCAAGTTATAATCAAGGAGAACACTACTGTTCCATACTAATTTTTGAAAAACTTCCTATCATATGACCTTTTAATATCTCCCTGATGTTAACCACTGTGTTATTAGAGGATGGACACATGCTCTGAAAGACTTTCACTATCATAATGTTTGAAAAGCATTTTGTTTGTAATGGACATAATTATACTTTTATTATATTTGATCCTGAAACTTTGTATTAGAGATTTTTATGATCTCAAAAACTAGATTCACTCTAGGAAACTTATTTTTGTTCTACCTCAATCACAGGACCCCAAGAAGACCACTGAGGACCCAACACACCAAAAATGCAAAAGCAAGGTTTATAGTTTATTTGGGCTTAAGCTCGGGCTCTCAGACCGCACCGATATAACGGAACCGTGCTGAGAGCCCCGAGTGGGGGAAAAAGGGGCTCTTTATAGGTTAGAAACAAAGAGAGGAGGGGAATAACAGCGTCACTTTGTAGTTGGTCCAAGAATCCTGCTCGCGCTGACACACCTTTGACCTGATTGTACAGGATGCAGTTGTGAAGATTTTTTATTGGCGGGTGTTGTTCTCAGGGTTGTGGAATGTGCGGGCCGTCTGTGTGGTTAGGAGTCTTTATTTTTACTCTATAGAGCAGTGTTGGTACCTGGGCTAATCTAATCTATAGTTTCCTGGAAAGGGAACAGCAGGGAAGGAGTAGCAGCAGGTGTGCATTTCAAACATTACACAGAAGCTGAAAAGAGCAATCAGTGGGGTGTCAGGAGGGGTGAAAAGAGCAATCAGTGGGGTGTCGGGAGGGGATGAATGAGGGGGATCTCTGGGTCCTACAATTTTCTTTTTGTTTTTCTTATTTTCATATTATGTGACAGTGCTATAGGTGATTGTAATCCTTGCTTTGGTTGTTTGTAAAATGAACAAGGTATTTGCTATATTTTAATATAAGACATACAGCTTTAAAGTATGTTAAAATATAGTTTCAACTTGATACATTTTTTTTCATGTTTATTTTCTTCAAGCAGTTTCTTTTTCAAACTGTTAAAATTATGTTCCAATTCATATTTTTCTATAAGAAATTTAGAAAACATAAGTCAAAAATTTCTAGAATTGTTGCTATGTTAAACTTAGGAAATTGTTATATAATCCCTTTAAGAATTTAGTTTGAACTGGGGATATAGTTTGGTGGTAGCACATTTGCCTAGCATGAGCTGGGTATGATAACCAGCATATCAAAAAAAATATTTTAGTTTCCCTTATGACTATTTATTTATGCTTACTTTTCAGACTTTGGCACACAAAAATCTTCAGGACAACAAGTAACTTTTCAAGAGTTGATGAGCCACCTGACAATTGACCAAAGTATCTTACAGCTAAGTTGTTTGGATGGAGACGTGAATGGTACCTTTATAGCACATTCTTGTATAAAGCATGAGGCCCAGAATATTCAAAGTTGTTTCTAGAATTGGTTTATTGCACATCAAAAAAATAAATTTTTATTATGTTACTCACTTGAAGTTTAAGAGGTTCTTGTGTGCTGTGGTTTTATTTCTAAAGGTGGAGAAAGGAGAGGACACTTTATTCCAGCTTCTTCTAGTCCCCTGATCCTTGGGCTGATCTATCTTCTCTCATCTATATTTTTCATTCTTTATTGGAGCTTACCTCAGGTCCAATCAAATACACACAGGAAGAAATGTTCAGATTATTGACTCAATTTTGTTGGTGCCATTTTCACCAGAAAAGGTGCTTGCTTTCACTGTAATCCTTCCCAGTCATAAAAGGTCTGTTGACAGTCTTCAGCAGCCTTTCAGCCGGGAAGCTGGTTTTCTGCCTTTTCTCTGTGCATCTGCAGAGTTAAAGTCTGAGACATCTGAAGACATTTTCCAAACTTCATGTCTACCAATTTTCTTCCTAATCCCAGTGTTGGTTAGGATCAAAGTAAGTTATCCACTTGAGGGGCATAATCTCCTTATAACTATTGGGATTCATTTTGTTGGTGGTGGTGAGAGCTTGAAACATTGCTACTGAAAATTGTTCTTGCAAGTTGGTTCGAGCTTCATATTGCCACTAAATTTCCAACGTCCGTAGATTTTTCTGCTGTTAACTATTCCAGACTAGAAAAGTATGTTTTTATTGGTGTCTAAAAGTATATGAAATTGTTCAACAAGACTCTAGAATTAGAAGAGGTGGGAGAAGGGAGGCTGTATCTTAAAATTTTAAGTGTTAATGTTAGAACCATGTTTTCTTTTGTGATAATAGTTTAATATGCTTAATGACAAAAATGTGTTTAATGTTCAGAAATGTCTTGGATCTACTGATGTTCAGGTAGAGAACACAGATCTTAGTTTTAAACCAAGTCTTACTTTGCCACAGCTGTATTTTAAAATATTTATTTTCATTTTATGTGTATGAGTGTATTGCCTGCATATATGTAAGTGCACCCGTGTTGTACAATAACCTGGGAGGTTAGAAGAGGGGTTGGATCCCCTGGAACTGGAGTTATGAGTGATTGTTAGCCACCATGTGGATGCTGGGAATTGAACTCAGGTCCTCTGCAAGAGCAGCCAGTCTCTTAACCACTGAGCCATCTCTCCAGCCCCACCACAGCTATTTTTGTTGTCGTATTTTTATTGTCATATACTTTTAAAAAAATTTTTTTTAATTTTATGTGTATGCGTGTATTGCCTGCATGTAGATAAGTGCACCTGTGTCATGCAATGCCCACAGAAGTCAGAAGAGGCTGTCGGATCCCCTGGGACTGGAGTTATCTACAGTTGCTAGCTGCCATGTGGGTGCTAGGATTTGAACCCGGGTCTTCTGCAAGAACAACCAGTGTTCTTAACCACTGAGCCATCTCCAGCCCCTGTTGTCATATACTCTTAATTTTGAAAAAAAAAAAATAGCAAATTTAAAACACTCGCCTTTAGGGGCTAGTGAGATGGCTCAGTAGGTAAAGGCACCTCCTGCCAAGCCTGGTGACCTGAGTTCCATCCCCAGGAACCCACATGGTGGAAGGGAAGAACTGACTCCTGCAGATTGTTCTCTGACCTCCATGTGCGAGCTGTGCTGTGCAGGTTAGTACCTGCCCCCAGGGACACAGAATAAATAAATAAAAATATAATTAAAAAACAAACACTTGCCATTGGAATGTGCCAGTGATTGCCATCTGTTTAGATAATTGCATTTTTAGAAGTAAATTCTACTTTTAAAAGCATTTAAATTTAAAAAATTATTCTTGCTTAATAGAATATTAATTCTGTGAGGGAATTGCAGCATGTTTTATATACAGGTATAGAATGGAAGTGTGGTTGGGATAATCCATTTCTGTCTTATACTGGTCTATTTCTCTAAATCTTAAATCTTGTGAATATTACTGTAGGTGTATCATATTATTAATATGCAGGGTCAATCTATACAGAAAGCTCTCTTCACTCACCAGTAATTTTTGTTCATTATTGGTTTTAGAACTAAAATATTAATGTGAACTAGAGAATTGCTGCCTATTTGTACAATTTACATGTAATGGCATATATGCAAAATAAACTTATTAATACATGTGTCATATGGAATGTGTGGATTAAATATTAAGTAATAGGATCAGGAAGGCTGTGAATTGAATGTGAGAGAAAAACTAAGGGTTTTGTATGTTTATTTTGTCAAAATGAAATAAAGTACTTTTTTTTTTGAGACAATGTCCTATACCTCCAGTTGGCCTAGAACTTGCTACGTAGACCAGAGTGACTTTAGTCTCACAGAGATCCTCCTGCCTCTGCCTCCTGAGTGCTGGGATTAAAGGAGTACACCACCATGCCTGGTTAAAGTGCATATTTTAAGATTTAAATAAGCTGGGCGTGGTGGCACACGCCTTTAGTACCAGCACTTGGGAGGCAGAGGCAGGTGGATCTCTGTGAGTTCGAGGCCAGCCTGGTCTACTTAGAGAATCCAAAAGATTTAAATAAATGAAACCAGGCATGGTGGTGCATACCTTTTAATCCCAGAAGCAGAAGCAGGTGAATTGAAGGCAAGCATGATCTATATAGGGAGTTCCAGGCCAGCCAAAGCTATAGAGACTCTGCCTCTAAATAAATAAATAATAAATAAATTAATAAATAGTTTGTATAATTAGATGAATGATTATATTAGCATTGCGTGGTAGAGTCGTACAAAGCCCTTTCCATGTAATATCAGTCAAAGTAACTAGGACTATGTAATTAAAGGAACAAGTTCTTTGGAGCAAGGGAAATATAACAATCATTCGAAATCACAAATGTTCAAAGCTAAATTGCTACCGATATAAAAATACTGGCAGTGGGTTAGTCTCTTTTCAGTTGTTTCCTTACGTATTTGTAAGCCATAAAACTCTTAAGTAGGAAAATTAACTGAAATTATCCGGGTATAAATATGTCTCAAACTGAATTTGTTTACTCTGGAAGACTTTGACTGTAGAGAAAGGAAGTTTAGGTGAATGCTTATTCCTTAAGTAAATTCATTAATTTTGTCATGTATTTAGTCATAAGCAAAATGCAAACTAATGCAGAGTAATCCTGAACTGCTTGGAGCTTCCTGGCACACCACTGTAGTTCTTCAATGTAACTGAAGTTCTTTCAAGAACCAATTTTCGAATTTTTAATTCTCCATTGGGGATAATATTAGGATGTATAGTTTGCTGCGAGTTTTCCCCTGTTGATTAATGGAGCTATTTGGCTAGAGGAAAAATAGCAATAAAATAATAGGATCTGGAACATGCCCTCTGGTAAAGATTCCTTCCCTTCTTCCTGGGCCTTGTGGCAAAGGGAGGGGGAAGCAAAGAAAAGGGAGAACGTTAAGGAACGCGTAGCCAGCTTGTCTATGTTACCTAAACTTTTTTGTCCATAAATTGTTTTCTTCTATAAAAGGAACAAAAATTAATATTTTGCCTGCTTACTTTTTACTCAGAACTTGTAGAACAATGGGGAGATTTTTAAAGCTAAAATAAGGTTGAGGCTTTTGTAGTATAATGAATTAGAACCCAGAAAACCTGGGTTGGGTCCTCATTGTAGGATGTGAGAGATGCTGTGAAAAATGTACTGTGTCCCAGACCAGATGGGCAAGTTGGCTGGCTGCAGATGGACAGACAGTACACACTGCACAAACCCTGTTCTCAGCTTTGGCTGAGGACAAAGTCCCTTTCTATTTTGTATCAATCAATCATAAATAACTGTGTCACAATGTGGTGAATAAATCGTTTATTTGCAGTCCAGAAACCAGTAGCAGTTCAGTGACATGATTAGAAATAAATGAGACAATTTTAGTCCTGGGTACACCAGGGTAAGGTGTTTTGTCTTCAAATATTTATAGTCTAAAATTTGAAATTTGAAGTTGTTCAGTATACTAAAAAGTATTTCAGCATTTGGAGCTGATTTATTTTAGGTGAACTTTTCTGTTTATTTTTTGACCTCTCTTCTCTCCTTTGTCATCTCCAAAAACTTAAAGTGAAGTAAATATGTTTGCCTCTCAAAAGCTAGTTCAGAATATCTTCTGTCAAGGGAATGTTTTTCAGGATGTGAACTAAAAATGAAAAATATTCTTTGTCATTAGCCTGAAGCAGGGATTAAGTCCTGGAGGTTTGTGGCCCTTTCATCTTAAGACAACAGATTTTATTTATTTATTTTGTAAGAATGGAGTGAGTTATCTTTGAAAATGTTCAGATAGAAATGCATAGTTAGAGCACTGTGCTTTCTGTACACTGTATTTTAAAGTTAAGGTTCCCCCCCCACCCTTGGGCTAAGTCAAATAATCATTCTAGGGTATAAGCTGTGTTTTCTTACTTAATTTCCCAAGATGTGAAATAAACTATATTGAGACCACACTAATAATCCATGGAGAAAGTGATGCAGGAACATCCCCTGCTCTACAGGGAGGAAGCAAGATTGCACTGTTCATTCATGGAGGGTCATGTTTATCGGATGTGACGATGAATTGTGCAGGGTTATGTGTGTTGGAAGAGCACACTTATCTTTGATTGGAGGCAGAGAGAAAGCATAACAAAGAAACCTTGGCGGATGGTGGAGGGCCCTCTCTGAGCTGCTAGGAGAGGGATGGAGAGCTGAGCTGTCAGAACGGAATGCTTATTTAAACAACTGCTTTTGATACATAGCAAATTTATCTTTAAAAAGCCTTTAGAAAACCAACAGTGCCAGAATTCAGATGTCTGGGAAAATAAAGAGCAAGGGAAAATGTGAAATTAATAACAATGACTGGCGTAAGTGGCTTTTCTAAGCAAGACCATAGAGCAAGGGAAAATGGCTTTGCTTTTCTCTTTACAACCAGAAGAGCTACACTCCTCTAATAATTCTAAGTTAATTATTTTCATACTTGTAATAAATTGTCATTCTAATTAGTTGGTAAATAAAATCTTGTTAAAATAAAACCTCTTAATCTACATTTAATAAATGCAAATACAGTTACTAATGAATATTTCTGGA